GGGGTGCTGGCTGTTAACAAGAAGCTGGTGGCTAGCCACCCATCCCAGGGTCCGTGGCCTATTCCCTAATCCCCAAACACATAACTATGTGGCTTCACTCATCAATTTATTCACTCATTCGACAGAATCTGTTGAATTAGGTGCCAGGCTGGCTCGGCTATAGGAACTGGGAGTAACAAGGTGAGCAAGGCAGGGTTTCCATTCTCGTGGAGTTTATTTGGGGGTGGATGAAGGATGGACAGTAAATAGATAAAGGAAGTCATCAGGGATTTAGAAATGATGGGGGAGGAGGACATTCCTTTAGGATGCTGGCATTTCCACTGGGACCCGAATGATAGTAGACGACTCTGAAAAATCCAAGGAAATAGGCAGTGCAAAGGCTCTGAGGCAGGCGGGAGTTAAGGTGTGAGTAGAGGGATGAAGTGAGGTGGGGTAGGGGGAGGTTGGCAGGGCAGGGATAGAGAGGGATGGTTTTATTCCAAGAGCAACAGGGAGCAGCTGCTGGAGGATTCTAAGGAGCAGAGTGAGAAGATCTAAGCTTTTAAGTCATCCTGGATGCCCCGTGGAGAGTAGATTGGCAGCAGGGAGGACCGGTGGAAGGCACTACAGTTGTGCAAGCCCGAGCGATGGGGCTGTGGAAAGGGGCAGAGTGGATGCTTTTGGAGCATGCTTCGGCAGGTGAGGCAACCGCACTTGCTATTGGCTGCAGGGGCTGAGGGCTTCCCATACGGCGCGGAGAGCTCAGGGGAGGTGAGGGAGTGTGTGGGCTGAATGAGCCTGGGGTTCAGGGCGGGAGACGGACTTCGGGGAGTCCTCAGCATCTGGTTGGGAGCTAGGGGCCTGGATGAAATTACGAAGAGTTTGGGTGCAGAAGAAAAGGGGCCCCAGGACTGAACAGGGGTGCTGCGACATTAGGGCAGCGTTATTAGTGTTTTGTGCCTCATAATTGTTTGTTGTGGGGGCTGTCCTGTACTTTGTAAGATGTTTAGCAGCATCCTTGGCCTCTACCCATTAGACGGCAGTAGCAACCCCCTTCCTCCTGCGTGACAGTCAGGAATGTCTCCAGGTGCCAGATTGCCAAATGTCCCTGGAGGAGAAGGGGCAAAAAAAAAAAAAAAAATCAGTGAGACTTGGTGATTGGGAGTTCGGGGGAGAAAAGGAGGCCGAGAAGAAGGGGTGGTCTCAAGCCTGCAGTGTTCTCAGGGAAGGGGGTAGTCTGTGGTCTAAAATGTTGCTGAGAAATTAGGACACGCGTGGTGGCATGGAGTCACAATGACCCACCAGGGGTAGATGCAGCGGAGGTCAGGGTGCAGGTACCCAACGGAGGGTTAAGGAGTGAGTGTGAAGGGTGAGAGATGGTGCAGTGAACAGTCGGAGACAGCTGCAGGAGGCACGGGAGGCTGGCGGGGGGGGGGCTGGCCCTGGATCGGGGGAGGAGTGTTAGGGGAGGGGGAGGATTGCAGCAGCAGAGTCCTGGAGGACAGGAGAGGGCTTGGGATACATGCAGAGGTCTTGCCCTTCCAGCAGAGCTGGGGCTCGGATGAGTGAGTTCGGGGCGAGTTCCTGCCTGAGGGCTTTCATCTTCTAAGTTAGAGGCAAAGTCATGGCTTGGAGTGGAGGAGGGTGTGCGGGTGAGGAGGATGAGCGGGATACTGATTCTGAAGAGGGGGAAAGGTGAGCACACTAGGCAAGTCTGGAGATTTGTGGTCATAGCTTTAAAGCGAGGCCAGTCGATGCAGTGAGTGTTTTGCTCTGGAAGGAGCAGCTGTTCTGCCAAAAGCTGGGTGGATGATTTAGGTCGGCCCAGGATTGGGGTTTTGTCAGGTGAGGTGTGATGGGGGAGAGGGCGGTGGACTTGCATTATGGAGGGCATGACTCAAGGGTCTGGGAAGGTGGGGAGGCTGGGGCCTACAGGGTGGTGTGAGGATAGGGTCCCAGGGATTTGAAAGGCTGGGGCAGCTGGGATGTGAAGCCCAGTTGGGCCTCATCCCCGTGGAGCCCTGACATGGGAGAATCTGGGGCCACTCTTGGCTCTCAGGCCTGGACAAGTGGCTCCAGGGCTTTCAGCCAAGGGGGCATATCTCTTGCTGTGCTCTCACAACCAGGGATGGGACCACGGTCCCTGTGTCTTTGGAAAAGATGGTACTAGGTCACCTCCCCCCACCCCTTTCCAAGGGCATCCTTTGGGGACACCTTCATTTTAGGACACTACATGAGAGAGGCTCATGTATGTCATCCACTGATGCCAGGCTGCCACCCCCCCATCATTCAGCAATCTTGGCCAATATTGGGGAAGGAGAAGGGATGTGTGCTCGGGGGTGGGGGTGGGGGAGTGATGCAGCAAACCCATCCACCAGCATCTCAGTACATCTCCGAGTGCGAACGTGGTACTGTGTACATGGCGTCAAAGAACTTGGAAAGCAGGGTACCTCTTTCTCCCTGGAAGGGCGGTGGGTGAGAGGTGAACGGACCTTGGAGAGTGGGGGGCCCACCAAGCACCTGGGAAGGACTAGAGATGTGGGAGCTCAGGGCATGTCCAGGGATCAACAGGTAGCCTGGTGGGGCCAGGACGGCGGGCCAGTGCCCATCACGGGCTTCCTCTCCCGCTGCAGGTGGCTGGGGATGCTCTAAGGCAGCTCCTGCTGCTGGCGGTTCCGGGTCTGGGTCTGGGATTGAATTCTGCCAGCCTGGTGGGATGCAGGGACAATGGAAGGTCAGCTCTAGTCTGGGGACGGCTGATGCCATGGCCTGAGGCTCGGATTCGTGCAGGGCTGGCTGGAGGGCAGCACAGGAGGGTGTATGTGGGGGGGACAGAGAGCTGCAGAGAGGAATGGGAATCTACTTATGTGATGGCTTCTGCTGCCCCAAGAGCCAGCTGCACATCTGGGAGGTGGGGCTGGTAGGTGGCAGCAGGGGGCACAGACCCTGGGGCTGTGGCTGAGCCCCACAGGTGCCTGTAGGCTCTCCTGGCTGCCCCTACCTGGGCTTGGGCCCGGTAGGGCGTGACACTTGGTAGATCCAGAGCTGGCTGCCGCTTCGGGGAAGGCCCAAGTGGAGGGAAGGGGCAGGGGGGAGAGAGTGAGCAGCCCTGGCCACAGCTCCTTCAGGGTCCTGGTGCCTTTCAAGGAAAACTCGGGCCAGGAAACAAAGGGCTGATGCTGATCACAGTGTCTGGGGAGATAGCCCCTGGCCCCCCAGTGTGAGTATGATTGGAGCAGGTGAAAGAGTGGTCCCTCAGTCCTTCCTCAGGGAAGGGGCTACTGAGACTTCTCCATCTCTGGCAACCACAGGCCCAGGCTCAGCCCAGCCAGCGGGTGGGGGATGCATCCATAAAACCTGTCTCTGGAGGGGCTGTCCTGTTCACCATCAGGCTGTGGCCCTTAGACTTTACAAAGGCACTAAGTAGGATGGCAGGAGGCAGGGATAGCCCTGGATCGAGGAACCCTTCCACCCCTGCTGTGTGAGCCTGGGGAGGGGTAAGACATTGTGGGCACTGTGAGGTCATTCCCTGGTCCCGTGAAGATAGAGCAGGCAGGCAGGCAGGTCCAGTATGCACGCTGTCTCAAGGCCGCGTCTTTTGGAGGAGCCCTACTTTCAGGGGTGGCTCGATGCTCATTTATTCAGAGGATGTCATGCAGAGCCACGGGCTATAAATACAAGGCCTGGCTCTAGGCTGGGGTTATAACACCAGGGGCTCCAGGAGTGGTGAGAAAATGTGCTCTTGAGGCTGCCCAGGCTGACACTGGTGGCAGAGGCCACGGGGAGAGTGAGTAGGGCTGGGGGTGCCTGAGGGGGAGCCTATCGCTCTTGGAGTCTGGCATGGGGATGGGGTGGGGTGACTAATCTGAAATTTCTGACCCAGCTCCTTCTACAGCCTCTCCAAGAGGGGTGTGCAGCATGCATGTGGGGGGGAGGGGACTCAGCAGGAATGCTCTGTGTGTGTGAGAGAGAGAGAGAGAGAGAGAGAGACAACATAGTCAAAGGGATGCTCCTCCTTGCCTAATTGCCCCGGAGACCTACTTTTTCTCTGAGCTGTGTTAAAACGCTGAGTGAGATTGGAGTCCAAGCCAGTTTTCCTCTTACCTCTTTGCCCTTAGTGGAGGAAACCGAGGCATCTGCGGGGGAAAGCGGACGGCTGAAGTCCTAAATCTCTGAGCTTGCCCACCGGCCTTGGGAACCTCAGTGCCCGCAGAGCGCAGCGGGACGCGGGTCTCCCGGGGGCCGCGGACCACCGCCACGCGGGCGGCAGCAGGGGGCGCTCGCAACCTGGCCACCGCGCCTCCCAGGGCTCGGCAGGCCCGACGGAGTCCGGTCGGGGTAAGGAAGCACCTGGGGAAGGGGCTCCGGGCAGTCTCCCCGCTCCGCCCTACTCCTTCCACTCGGCTTCCTCCTCGAGCGCCGGGTACGAGGTGTGGTTCATTTCGCTGCGGTGCCGCAACACACCCACCCACCCTCTCCTTGGGGCTCATACGCGGCGGGAGGAGAGATCAGCCGGAGCCCACCGTCCTAGATCCCGGTGCTCGGACCGGGTCTGCAGGAGAGAGGTCTCCCATCGGTCCCAGCTCCCCGTGCGCACCAACCCTTCTGCGTCTGCAAGCGTCCTTCCCGGAGTCCCGAAGACCCCAGACACCGGTCTCTGACCTCCCGCGGCGCGGAGGCCGGGAGGACAAGGGGTAGGGGCGCCAGGGCGGAGGCCCGGGGCTGCGGGGAGGCTGCGGCCGGCCAGTCCTCCCGCCAGGCGCACCTTCCACCCGTCCTCGGTCCGCCCTCCCGCCCGCCCCACCTCCGTCCCCTCCTCCTGCTCCCGCCTCCAGTCTCCTCCCTCCTCCCGCGCGCTCGCTCTCCTCCCATTCCCCTGCCGCGGCGGGCTGCCTGCAGGCGCGGCTCCCGGCTAGAGCCAGCGAGCGGAGCGGGCGCCTCGGCCTCTGCACCGCCTCCCACAACCGGTGGCGCGCCCCCCGCCCGGCCCGCCGGGCCCTGCGCCCCAGCGCGCGTCCAGCAGCCTCGGAGCGGGAGGGCGCAACTTTCCCCCGGTCCCGGACGGGGCGGGGACGGCAGCGGGACAACTTGGAAAACTTCGGGGAGGACGGCAGGGGTGCCGGGTGCTGGTGGAAGAGGATGTAGGAAGGGCAGTGGCTGGCCCCAGGCATCCCTCGGTCTCCTAGGCCCCGTTCGGCCTGGCCATGGGGCTCCAGCGCCTTCTGCGCCGCCAGGGGGTTGATCCTCCCGTCTAGCCTAGCAGGGTAGGACAGTGCTGTCGCCGGCTGAGCAGGCGCTGGGAGAGCAGCGACCCCTCTGGCCGCGTCCCACTCCGCCATGGACCACCAGGAGCCCTACTCGGTGCAGGCCACCGCGGCCATCGCGGCGGTCATCACGTTCCTCATCCTCTTCACCATCTTCGGCAACGCGCTGGTCATCTTGGCTGTGCTGACGAGCCGCTCGCTGCGCGCCCCGCAGAACCTGTTCCTGGTGTCGCTGGCCGCTGCCGACATCTTGGTGGCCACGCTCATCATCCCTTTCTCGCTGGCCAACGAGCTGCTGGGCTACTGGTACTTCCGGCGCACGTGGTGCGAGGTGTACTTGGCGCTCGACGTGCTCTTCTGTACCTCGTCCATCGTGCACCTGTGCGCCATCAGCCTGGACCGCTACTGGGCTGTGAGTCGCGCGCTGGAGTACAACTCCAAGCGCACCCCGCGCCGCATCAAGTGCATCATCCTCACCGTGTGGCTCATCGCAGCGGTCATCTCCCTGCCACCGCTTATCTACAAGGGCGACCAGGGGCCCCAGCCCCGCGGGCGCCCCCAGTGCAAACTCAACCAAGAGGCCTGGTACATCCTGGCCTCTAGCATCGGGTCCTTCTTTGCACCCTGCCTCATCATGATCCTTGTCTACCTGCGCATCTACCTGATCGCCAAACGCAGCCACCGCAGAGGTCCCAGGGCCAAGGGGGGCCCCGGGCCGGGTGAGTCTAAGCAGCCCCGCTCAGTCCCTACGGGAACTTCAACCAAACTACCAACCTTGGCCTCTCTGGCTGCTTCTGAGGAGGCCAATGGACACTCTAAGCCTACGGGGGAGAAGGAGGGGGATACCCCTGAAGATCCTGGGACCCCTGCCTTGCCACCCAGCTGGTCAGCCCTTCCCAGCTCAGGCCAGAGTCAGAAGGAAGGTGTGTGTGGGGCGGCTCCAGAGGAGGAAGCTGAAGAGGAGGAGGAGGAGGAGGAAGAGAGTGAGCCTCAGGCCTTACCAGCGTCTCCTGCGTCAGCGTGCAGCCCACCCCTGCAGCAGCCACAGGGTTCCCGGGTGCTGGCAACCCTACGTGGCCAGGTGCTCCTGGGCAGGGGCGTAGGCACCGCGAGTGGGCAGTGGTGGCGGCGGCGGGCACAGCTGACTCGGGAGAAGCGGTTCACCTTTGTGCTGGCCGTGGTCATTGGCGTTTTTGTGCTCTGCTGGTTCCCCTTCTTCTTCAGCTACAGCCTGGGAGCCATCTGCCCACAGCACTGCAAGGTGCCCCATGGCCTCTTCCAGTTCTTCTTCTGGATTGGCTACTGTAACAGCTCGCTGAACCCCGTCATCTATACCATCTTCAACCAGGACTTTCGCCGTGCCTTCCGAAGGATCCTTTGCCGCCAGTGGACCCAGACGGCATGGTGAGCCACCTGCCCGCCGCCCATGTAGGGTTGGTGCCAGGTGGCACCAGGGCCACCCCGATTCCTGCCCTGTTTTCTGTGGCCACCTCCCTGGGGCTTTCTGGCTCCTGCCCGGGTCCTGCAGGCCTCCTCTTGGGAGCCCCCCTGGAGGGGTAGGGGCAGGGGTGCTGTTCACTGGGGGTCCATCTGAAGCCTCCAAAGCCAGCCAGGATAGAGCCCCTCCCTCCCAGGACCCCAGACCCCGGCAAGCCAATGGGTGGGCTTTCCTTCTGGACTCTGTGTTCCCTGGCCGGTCACTTGTTTGTGGTGGTTTGTTTCTCATCTTCCCCGGGTAAAGAGCAGGAAAGCCAGCTTTCCATTTTTCCCAGGAGCACCTGCCACTGAGGAGGAGGCAGAACTGAGGGACCCACGCTGGATGCCCGGGGTCCCCATCCGGCGCTGGGTGGGGGGGTTTATGGTCTGACGCTGCTTCTGGGGCCTTCTCCCCTTTCTACCTACTTTTGGATTTGTAGCTCCTTTAAAAGCCAAAACGTTTTCTGGAATCATTTTCCTCACCTGGCACCCCTCTGGGAGGTGGGTGTGTGCCAGTGGACGCCTCGCCTTGGTGGGGTGGTCTGGAGGCCTGGCATCTGCCTGACGGGAGATCCCTGATCACTAGCATTCACCCCCTGCAAAAACCCCGGGGACTTGCTGCTGGGAGATGAGAGGCTTTGCAGAAAGCTTTGAGCTCCGTAGGGGAACACACTAGAGAACCAGAAAATGTGATTGTTTGGTGATATAAAAATCCCCTTTCTCTGTGTTTACCACCACCTGTCTTCCCGTAGACTTTTGTTCTGTGCCTGGGGTGTGTGAATTCTTACCCCAAACTGGACGTGGGGAATGGTAGAGAGAACCACTATTTCTTCGAGAACGTGTTCTTGCGCCTGCAAGGGTTTAGCTATTATGCTGCATGACAACTTCTCGACATTTCATCCACAACACCAACGGGGTTTTCAGGGGCTTGGGCCCCCCAGTGGGAGAAAAGTCTTTAGTCATCGAGCAGGCTAATTGTTTTCCCAAGATGGCTAAAAAGACCCACACCATGGGAGCAGCCTGAGATGAGAGCCTGGGGTGGGTGACAGAGCCCCCAGGTAGGGTGCTGCGGCCAGAACAGGTGAGTGAGGGCCCCGTGGACTCCTGCAGGGGCCTCCCACCAGAGCGCTCAGGCAGGTCTCCAAGCCCCCAGCGGGTCCCTGTGATGTATAAGCGACCCCACCCCAGATGGGGTGGGGGCCGGCTGGCTATCTCTGTCCCAGCCACGTTGCTCCATCCCACTGATGGGGCTCCAGGGGTCTCTCCCTCCTGGTTGTCTCCCCATCCCCGGGACCTGGCACCCAGAACACTTGGGAGCATTTGAAGGACGTTTCCCATTCTTCTCCAAGGAGCGCCTGGCTTGGACATTAAGTCAGCGGGCAGCTAGCGTGGGACAGGGGCTGAGCAGCCCAGGCACTGTCGGCCCTCTGATGGGCCTGGCTGGACCTGGAGAGGTGCTGAGAGTTTTCCCGGGCGGAGAGAATGGAGGGGACCAAAGAGAGTCCCTCCTGGGGAGAGGGGCTGTCTAGCTCCTTCCTCGGTCTCAGGGTGAGGCCAAGGCTGTACCCAGGGGCGTGGCTGACTTGTGACATCTGACTGGTCTTGTGTGTGTCCTGTGGGACTCCTGCTATTGTGGTTGCCTGTGGGCCCCTTGTTGTGATATGCAGATGTTTTTGTTGTTGTTTTTTTAAAGTCTGAGCTATTTTATCAATAAAAGATATTTTGTAATAAACGAGCTGTGTCCTTGTTGCCCAAAGGCTGCCAGGAGTAATTATTTCTCAGCCACTCGGATGGTATCTCTAAGCATGGGCTCCCTCCCGGGGCTGGTTGCCCTTTCCTGCCCTAGGCGTGGCTGCCCAGTACCTACCCACCTGCACACCTGCTTTGTCCCCTCAGCATCCCTTATCATTGCAAGCCAGTGGGAAGAGAGTGGCCAGAGAAGCCTGAGATTGGCCTCCTGGCAAGGAAAGAGAAGGAGGGCTTCCCAGAGTAGGGGGCCTTGGGGCTGGGTCTTGGGGGAAGAGACGGAGTACACCAAGAAGCAAGATAGGAAAGGTGTTTCAGGCAGGGGACAGCACGGGCAAAGGGTGAGTTTGGTGGATTTGTGACAGTTGGAGAGTCAGCCTTGCGGTCAGGTGCAGCAGCTGAGGGCCAGAGGAGGTCGTTGGACACCACCCCCAGGGGGGCCGGAGGAACATGGGGAGGAAGGGCAGGAGGACGGTAACTGCAGAGTGTTTTCAGCGGCTGCCTTCAGGGAGGGCAGGAGAGTGGACCAGAATGCTCTGCTTCGGGCTCTCCCACACTGAGATTCAGTCACCAACGCCAGAGTTGGAAGACCTGTGGCTGTCACTCCTATCAATCTTATTTCCCAGATGAGGCCTCCAAGGCATCTGGTCCCACCTCGGTGAGGGCAGCCTCTGGGGCCTGAGCCAGTGTGGCCTGGTTCTGAGGGCAGGGGAGGCCCCAGGGAGGGGTAAGGCCTGGGAGGGAAGGGCAGAGGGAGGAGCGCTGAGGTCCCAGGGTCGGGTGGTGGGAGGCCATCTACCATATCCAGGATTCACATTGCCCCGGGCCGGGCCGTGGCTTCCGCCATGGGCAACCAACGGAGACTCCTGGGACAAGCGGCTTCACGGACTTGATGAGAGAGCCACACCCTGCCCTGAGGAGCTCCCAGCAATTTCTACCAGCCTGGCTTTCCAAAGCCAAGGTCCTGAGGCCTGATGAGGGTAGATTAAAGTAGCTCATTTGTTCCCGTTTACTGAGCCAATCACTTTTCTGGCATTTTGTCTAGTTACTTTGTTTAATCCTCATGCCCACTGTGTAAAAGAAGTATCAGCCCATTTTATCCAGGGGAGACTGAGGCTCAGAAAGGTGTACTGACTCGCCAGAGGTGCCCCAGGCCCACACTCTTTCCACGGGACCGCACTGTGTTGCCCGAGGGTCTGTGAGGGGCGGGCCCACAGGCCTGGGGGAAGGGCTCCCCGCCCAGCCTCTAGGGACAGTGACAGAGTTAGCGCGGTAACTGAGTACTGAGTACATTATTTTACTTAATCCTCACAATCTTGCTGGGTGTGGCCATTTTGCCAAAGCGGAAACTGAGGCTCAAGTTCACCCAGCTGGGTCCCTGAATCGCAAAGCTTCAAAATTCAGGTGTAGAGGAATCGTGCTTCTGGCTCTCGCTCCAGCTCTCGTTCGGGGGTGCCGGCCGGTGGGGGACCCCGAAACTGCGCCTGGCTGGGCTCAGTAGGCAGCGGTGCGGTGACAGACCAATCGTGTCTGTCCCTGCCACAGAATATGTAAGCGGTGGTCTGGGCTCCACAGGTTTTCCATTCCTGACAGCTCAGTCAAACCCCAAAGTTTATTAAAGAAGTGACTGAAGCCCAGAGAGAATTGACTTGCCTTGGGCCCTCCCCCCAGCCAGGCAGTAGCAGAGCTGGTCTAGAAGGCAGGTTGTCCACACCTTCATACAGAAGGGATTTTTTCCAGACTTAAGGAAAAACAGGTCCACATTCAGGAAGCATCTGGGACAGACTGCTGTGTGCGAGGGCCTGTGCCTGGCTTGTCCCCATTTTGCTACTTTGTTCAGTTCTCAGATGAAGAGCCTGAGGAGCAGAGCCCCGGGGGCCTGTCCATGGTCACACAGCTCATAGGTGGTGTGGCTGGAGCTGGACCTCGGGACCCCTGGCTCCTAGGCTGTCTTCTCCTCCTCTCACACCCCATTCCTGCTGTTCTGTGTGAGTAGCACCTACTTTGGATTTCACCCTGAGCCCATCTGAGGGTTAGTGGGTCCAAGAGGTGGGCTCAGAGCAGCAGAGATGGGGGTGGGGGGATCGCACGCCCCCTCCCAGGAGTAATCAATCCCCCACACACCTTGGGGGTGAGTGTGGGGGACAGGAGGCGGCACGGATTCTTGGCAGTTCACCAGCTGCATGTGAGCTGTTGTGGAGGGGCACTTCTACCTTCTGGAGACCCTTCTAGCTTCTGTCTTAGGACATCCCTGACAAAGGGAGGGACCAGTAAAGAAGACAGTTAAAGAAGAGGTGGGATGGATGGCTTAGGAAGACGTCTCCCCTCCCGTTTCACTCGTGGCGTAAGAATCTGGGTCCTTTGAGCACAGGGGATACCCTTGAAAGGCAGTACAGTCCTACCCTCTGCCTCAGATCAGCTGCTGAGAAATTCAGGGCTGCTGGGAGTTCCTCTTGGGGGCATTGCTACGGGAAGCCCCCCCCCGGCCCACCTGCTCAAAGGGTACCTGTGCCGGGAGGGCTGGCTGACCTGCTGCCAAGACTCCAGGTGGAGGGGGCTTGTGAGTTCATTAGGCCCCTGCGTCTCCCCAGCCTCGTTTCTGTGTTTGGGAGGTGGCGCTGAGAACTGGATGTGAGACCGTGCAAACGGGGTTGCTGTTGGCTGGGCCTGGGGAGGCATCTGCCCAGGTGGAGCTGATCCCGGGCGACCTTTGGCTTCCCTGGTGCTGGCCAGGAGTTCTGCTTAGAGGGCCCGGTCGCTGGGAACGGCCAGGATGGTGTAGGACTTGGTGCCAGTGGAAACCACAGTGGGGACGTGGTGGGGAGGCCGGGGTCATGCTTTGCTTCTGCCCTCATTTGTCCAGCTGCCCCTGAGCAGAGCTGGGTCCTTCTTGGGGCCTCAGTGTTCCTGCCTGCCCACGAGGTGTTGACCCCGTGGTCTCTAGGGTTCCCTAGCTTGAGGCTCCATCTCTGCCGTGACCCCGGCTTTCTGGAAGGTCCAGATTTGGAGGTTCCTGGAATTAATCCGTTGTTGTTAGGGGCAGGCTCTTGGACAGGCTGAGGGCTGTGTTTTCTTCATCTTTGTGCCTTTAGTGCAGAGGCAGGCTGGGTCTGGGGTGACCGCTCAGTTTGGGGCCCTCTGAGATGGGCGGTGGCAGAGGAATAATGACAGTTCTGAGTCATCGGGACTAGTGCCGGACATGCATCATCTGGGATTAGAGCAACGACTATTCCCATTTTATAGGAGAGGAAACTGAGGCCGAGGGAGATTGAGCATCTTGCCTGAGGTCATCCGGAGCCAGGATACCAACACACCCAGTTTAATCTCAACTGTGTCACTAACTGGCCTCAGCATCTGCCTCCTCAACAATGGGGGAGCAGGCCTGGGGCCCTCCCAGCCCAGCAAAGCCCCTGCTCTGTGCTAGCTGGAGGGCCGCCCCTACAGAGACCCCACGGCTTCCGGGTGGGGGGTTATCTCCTGGCCTGCTGGTACCTCCGTTAGAGCAGGGGTGGGAAGCTCTGTTCACTGTTAGCAGGGGAGGCGGGAGGACTCAGCTAAAATTAGATTCTGGGATTTTTCGTGCTCCTGCATCCGTCCGTCCTTCCGTCCCGCGTGGGGAAGCCTGCTGTCAGCACGCCAGAGCTGGAAGGAGCCTGGATGTCAGCTTGCACCCTCCCCAGGGCTCGCTGGCTCTGATCTTCTCACACCCTCCCCTGGCCTTTGGCCAAAGGCTCCTGCCCTTGGCTTGGCCTTGTGGCCATCTATTGATTAGCAGTGATTTCAAAGGAAGAGCGCCCCCCCACTTAATACCCATCCTCTCCCCCTGGGATTCTTCCCCTCTTCCCTCCTCTCGTCCTCTCTTCCCTTCCTCTCCTCCGCTCTCCTGGCCCTTCCCACTTCTGGGTCCTTAGAGGCTGGCTCCCCCTTCCCTGGCTGTCCCCTCTGCCTCCTGTTGACCCTCTGCCTCCTGCCTCCCCCCTTGGGGATAGTCCTGGCTCTTCATGGGGCCTGCAGGCTCCATGGACAATTGTGGTTGCAAGGGGACCAGAACCTACTAGAGTCTAAAAAAGAGCTTCCCTTCCTGGCACGTTGGGGCTATTTCTGGCCCTGCTGCAGCCCTCTGGGGTCCCGGTGCTCCAGCAGGCGGGGGAGGTGCTGGGCCCCAGCCCCAGGGTGCGAGGGTCCTGACCTTTGATTTCCCCGGGTTGGAGTGGGGGCAGACCCCTTCTGGAACTGGGGGTGGGCCCTCCAATTTCAGAGCAGCCAAGGCTCAGATGGAATGCCACTCCCTCTGCTCCCATGGGGACCTGGGCTGCTCCAGGAGGGAAAAGGGCTGGGCCATGGAGTGTGGGTGGCAGTGTGGAGCCCAGGTGTCCCCGTGTCCCCGTTCCCACCCTAAGCTGGCTGCAGCTGGGAGAGAGGGAGCGTGGGAGGCTGCCTGAGCCTGCTGCTGGGGTCCCTGGACACTGCAGTGGGGGGGTGAGGGTTAAACCCAGCCCTCCCTCCCAGTGTGGGAGGGGGCTGTGTGGGGGGAGCCCCAGGCAGCAGGCTCCACGAGGTCCCTGGGCGCTCTTGGTCTATCCCCCGGTGCCACTGTGACACGCTGTCCCGGCTACACATCTGGGCAGGCTATGGCCTCTCCACCCCATGCTGGCCTGGCAGCTGGAGTTAGGGTGGGTGCAGGACTGGTGACCGTTTCAAGGATTTCCTCGGCTCTTGCAGAAGCATTGGCCAGGGGCCAGAGGCTCGGGTCATGGTCCCAGTAGGGCCATCAAATTGCTCGGTGACCTAGGGCAAATCCCTTTACCTCTCTGGGCTTCAAATTCCTCATTGTCCGATGAAGGAGTTGGACTGGAGCATGTTCCAATGATGTCCTGGGTTCTGCCTAAAGAACCACTGGGCAGGGGCAGAGAGAGGAGGGGGGCCCAGTCAGTGGCCTCCTGCCCCCAACCTACCCCTGCTTTT